TACCAGCTGAAAAACTCTTCAGTTTTTTGCGGACTCTAAAAAACTGAAGAGTTTTTTAGCTGGTATTTTAGACTCGACAAAAAACTGAAAAGGGTTTTTTATTTTTGATAAAAAATCGCCGGTTTTTCATTTTGCATCTGTCACGTACGCTTTTTAGTTTTTTGGATATAAAAAACGGAAAAGCGTTTTTTAAAAGGTTTATTGGTCTCAATAAACCCTTTTTGATAGTTTATTAATCTACTACTATTTTTTACAGTGTAGTGCCTCACTTCCTCTATCGGATATTTAGTTATACATCAGATAAAGTTGAGTGAGAGTGTTGTTTACTCTCAGTGCTTGTGTTAGTGCTTCACATCCTTTATAGGATATTTTGTTGCCTCCAAGATCAAGTTTAGTGAGAGTGTTGTTTACTTTCAGTGCTTCTGCCAGTGCTTCACCTCCTCTATCGGATATTTCATTGCCTCCAAGATAAAGTTGAGTAAGGCTGTTGTTTACTTTTAGTGCTTCTGCTAGTGCTTCACCTCCTCTATCAGATATTTGGTTATACATCAGATAAAGTTGAGTGAGAGTGTTATTTACTCTCAGTGCTTTTGCCAATGCTTCACCACCTCTGTCGGATATTTTGTTGTTTCCAAGAAAAAGTTGGGTGAGAGTGTTGTTTACTTCCAGTGCTTCTGCTAGTGCTTCACCTCCTCGATGGGATATTTCGTTACCTCCAAGATAAAGTTGAGTAAGAGTATTGTTTACTTTCAAATCATTTGCAAGTATACCAATGGCTTGTTCAAAAGCATTATGAGGCGTCGTGTCGAATTTCATAGTCAGTCGTAGTGACGATAGTTGTGTCATACAGGACAAGTACGGCACTACGCCTTTGATCATTTGTTCTGGTTTGATGTCGAAGAAGGATAAAGAGCGTACATTTACCAATGTATTCTTGGGAAAGTGGGTGAAGAACAAGTCAACATAATCGGAGGTCTCTTTAGACAGACGCAGAGAACGAACTTGTGCCGTTAATGGAAAGTGTTCGCAGATAAAGTCACATCTTGATTTGCTAATGCGCTGAAAGCTCAGATCAAACTGTAAGCTGCCAAGTAGTTCATCGAAACGATCGTTTAACCGAAGGAATGAGTGGAGAATATCATAAGCATGAAAATATTCAAGGATTTCAAGAACCACTTCATTCGGAAGCGATTGAAATTGCGTCACATCTAAACAAATGTGCATTGTGTAGAGTGTGCATCCGTGGTCTCTCTTATGTGAAGGAAGCCCCTGAAGTATAAAGGAGGAAGAATGGCAAGGTGGATACTCACTTTCGAAGGTGAGTAATAGTGTCACAGCGAGTGATAGTTCTGCCAAGTATTAGGTACGGTTCTATCCTCCCAAGCTAATATGGATGGACGGCTAGCCAATAGCATTTTACTATGGTCTTGACCGTGGATGTCATCTCTCTTTCTCCACTATTTCTCAACACATTCTAACCATCAGGTTTGTGTGTGCCACAATGAATGTAGTTGAAGAACACATCATCAACTTACCATTCTGTGCTTGCTTCAAACATTCATCGCTGCCACAAGTACTGAGCAATCGGTCTGATAAGTCATGCTGCATCTCTCTTCGGGGTATGAAATCAACGTTTGTATTCGTTCTGCTGTCAGTTGTAATGGGTCTATAGACTAATGTTAAAAAGAAAAATATTGAACGACTAATATGAAAAATCAATTAAATATTTTTCTACCTTATTTAAATATTAGTTCGTTCAATATTTTTTTTAATTTAAATATTTTTCCTTTATTTTAAAATAATTAAATATTTTTCTATCTTATGGGAAAAACTTTAATATTTTTCTATTTCGTTTATCTCATTGTAAATGAAGGAACTGATGTCGCAATTTGAACCTACCAAGAAGGTACGAATATGCAGAACCTGACTTTTTTCAACCTTATTTAAATATTTTTCTATCTGAATAAAACAATTTAATATTTTTTTATCCTAGGCGAAAAACTTTAACTTTTCTATCTTACAACAAGAAAAGTATTTATTAGTTCCAGTAGAAGAATATTTAAATAAGACAGAAAAGTATTTAATTGACTTTTAATGTTAGTCATTTAATATTTTCTTTTAACATTTTTCGGTATACCCGTTGTAATCAGAGGACTGAATTGACGCGATGTTTTTGCCAACATCATTTAAGTGTTTTCATGATGACATCACTGCTTTGTTTTTCTTTTCTACTATCACGATTCAACAGAAACGAAACTCGTTGTTTGAGTTGTGACGTAATAGATAAGCAGGTAACGGCTCTGACAGAGCATATCTTCTGTGCATGCCTCATTTGTGACGTGCAAAAAAACAAATGTGACTGCACGAAGGAGGGAATATGGCTTCCCCTGGGTCGAGATATTTATGGCAAACTTTTGCCAGAGACTATCTCGACCCATTTTTTCTTCCACTACAGATAGAAGGTAGGTCTCCCCTAATTAATTTCATTTTACTTCCTGAAACTTACAGATTATAGACTGATATTCATACTAAGTATCATCTTTCTGGGTATAATATGGATAGACATTCCAGTGATAACATAAAATTTGTTCTGTTCTTATTTTTTTCTAACCACACTGTTGGTTAGAAAAAAAAAATCGCAATATTTGATCTCTACAGCTGAACTATTTTTTCTTCTTTCTTTGCCGTCTATACGCTCTACAATCGCCATCTAGGTAATTTCTCATGTGTAACCAAGCAACAAACAAGGATTATAGTTGCTGAAAGTTTTCTCAAAGACGCTAGGAAACTCTACAAATATGCTTTCAATCATCAAGAGTCGTACCAGATAATGCTTTTTCTCTAAAACATTTGCTTCAGTTTGGTGGTGCTACGTTCAACGAGAATAAACGCTACTCACTTAGCGCTTCCTATAAAAACAAGTATCTTCGCAACCGTTGAGATGTCATTGATGAAACTTCCAGAAAATGTTTAACTAATACTGGTTATTCGTTGTCGAAACTTTCAGTTCAATCTGCCTGATGCAAAAACAGTCGATTTTTTCAGCTCTCTCATAATGAGTTAAGGGTCCCCCCCTCAGAAATTATCTCCGACACCGTACATGCGATCTTGACGAAACTTTCCATAAATGTTCGGCACAATGAGTTACGGGAATGAAAAAAGTGTTTTGTCTCCAAGTCTTACGGTTTAGGAGTTATCCAGAGATCAAGGTCCCTGAAGTGCGTCTCAAGATTTTTAAACGCGTTTCTTCAGACGCACTCAAGTTACATGGGAATGGGTGGAAGAAAGCTAGAAGTCACAACGAAACGAAACAAATTAAAAAGATTTTGTTCAGCATAGTCATAATGCCGAATGATGATTTTCAGTGTGAGATTGAAGATTAGCATTTTAATTTTATTTAATATTTTTATTCTGTTAAGTTATTCTGTTAAGATAATTTCAATTATACAAACTAAGTATAGCAATAATCATATGCACATTTGTGTTTTGCAGAATAGTGCATTTGCATATTTTCATGATTCTAAAATTAACAATATTGTTAGTGTTTCTCTTCGATAATGAAGAAAAAATGTACAACCAAGCGTTTAGCACTAGCAGCAACCAATCTACTTGATTTACTTCTTGCGAACAAAAGCTAAACTAGAATCTAATATTGTTAAGAATGTTTCTGATGATGATGATGATCATCCAGTTACAACTGTT